ATAATAATAATAACAATAATAATAATAATTCCATTATCATAAAACTAAGTGTTATTTAGAAGTGAAAAAGAAATGTTTATATTTAATTAATAATAATAATAACGAAATTAATAAAAATAGTGATAATAGTAAGAGTTAAATTAGTTCACTATAAGATATTGTAACGTGTTTTGAGTTTGAATCTCGTTGGTCACGTGTGTAAGTCCAAATCCCACTTCTGACACAAGTGTAACGTGTTTTAGTCACTGAAGACGCCGTAGAGATTGTTAATTGATTTATTCAACAACCTACAAGTAACGGCTACAATTAATTATGACAATGTTGCGGGGTTTCACAATTTATAACCCTATTCGCAAATCAAATCACTATATTGTCAGTAGGCTACATGTATTCACAGTACGGGAGCTATACAAGTTTCTCTGTCTCACACACTCCCAATTACACAGTTACACGCACGTCCGGTTCTTCTTTCGGAGACGGCTGCTATATGCCAACTCAACTCGCAGGCTGCTGCCTTGAGAATTGTTGATAACACACTCGCTCGACTACTACTTAACTCGGCGACTGCCACATTACAACTAACCTCGCAGGCAGCGCAGCTCTCTTATATAGGGGCTGTGTGGGTCTGTTGCGTAGCAACGCTGTTAACTCACGCCGTCTTACGTCACCGCGCGTTGCGCGTTACGATACCGTGCGGAGGGGGGATGACGGAGCGCTGACTCACCCGCCGCGTCACGGCTGGTGGGGGGGGGTTCTCCTTTGCGCAACATGTTACAATATGTTTCATCAACAGAGATTTTGGTCCAAAGACGTCAACGTTTCTACAGACAACATTAGCAGCAGAAGCGCATCTAGCAAATAATAATAATAATAATAATAACGAAATTAATAAAAATAACAATAATATAATAATTTAATTAGTTCAGCATAAGATATGTTTCATCAACAACCATTTTGGTCCAAAGACGTCAACGTCCCTACAGACAACATTAGTAGCAGAAGCGCATATGGCAGAGGGGCAATTTTTACTAACAGAACAGACATTGAACATAGGAAAGTCTCGGATATATGGAACAGGGATCCGAAGGTAAACAATTTCCAAAGCAGAAGGGCAAAGTACAGAACCACGATAAACTTGAATAAGGAAGAGCGCATCAAGATGATATCTCCTCTTATGCAAGGTGTGCAATTTCAATTGTTCTAAAGCAAAATCGTAACAGTAATCTAATTGAGGAAAGAACGTTTAAAATAGAGAGCCGTAAATTTCTGCTGAATGCGTTCTAGTTTGTTTGCATCAGCTGACGTAATGGAATTCCAAACTACTGAAGAGTATTCAACCTTGGATCTAAATAAAGTAAAGTATAAAATGAGCATGCATCCAAGAGTTCAATAGTTAAAGGTGATCCTGCGAATTATACCTAATATCTTTATACAGTGTGAAAAAATAAAATTAACATGATCATGAAAATGAAGTTTAGAATCAAGGTATACGCCCAGGTCTTTCACTCAATATGTCCGAGTAATGGTGAAAAGAAGAAGTTTGTATTCGTATATCAAATAGTTAGTTTTCCTGGAGAACGTTATAACTTTGGTTTTGTTAACGTTGAGTTTCATATAGTTGGCTGCACACCAGCTACGTATACAGTCAACGACAGATTGCAGAAGATTACAATCTACAGGAGAGCTAATAGCAATGTAAATTTTAATGTCATCTGCAAGGAGTAGGTACCTGGAGTGCTTAATTGAATCACATAAGTCGTTTATGTAGACATTGAAAAGTAGAGGCCCAAGAACAGATCCTTGTAGAACACTGGACTATACTTAAAAGGGCGATGAAATAGTTTCACCAATACGGACCCGCGATTGTCTGTTGGTTAGGTAACTGAGTATCCAGTTAACATTGAATTGAACTGAACTGAATTTATTTACATTCTATAAATCCTAAGCGGGTTGGTACCTTTGGATACAAACAAGTAAAAAGTTTACATACATAAGTACAGGCAATTTTAGCTTAAAAATTAATATAAGTTAATTTTACATTATTCTCTATTTACATTGAAGTATTCATCTAAAGAGTAGAAGGAATGAGCATGTAGATAATTCTTTAACTCTGATTTAAACTTTTTAGTATCACTGCCCAAGTTTTTAATACTTTGTGGCAGATTGTTGAAAACTTTTATGCCAG